GAATTATATATATATATATATATATATATATATATATATATATATATATATATATATATATAATTTATTTGTTTTTTTCAGCCCCATCAGCTATAGTAATTTCACATTTGGAGAAAATAATCTACAAAAACCAGTCCAGCAGTTAATTAAGGTAAAATGTTACTTTATCAAATTAAGGATTCAATACTACTAATAATTTATTTTTGCCGTTAGTCTCTGAATGTTTTGTCCTCTCTTTTCCTCCAGGTCACAAATAATATCAGAGCTCTGAATTTCACTGTGGTGATCAGGGTTCCTGTGAAGCTCGGTGACAAAGACATTTGGGTGGATACGAACAGTTTGCAGGTATTTTACAAATCTATAACTACTTTAAAAGGCTCATACATGGCAGAGGAGTTGATTGAAGGATAAAGGAAGGAACAAGTGAACTGACATGGGATTGTTTAATTTCAGATTACAGATTGTCAGAGAGACACAGATGAAGGACCTGATGTCACAGATTTTGTTGCACAGATAAAAGAAAATAAAGTTGTTGTGAGTATTAGTTGCTTGTTGAAATATACTATGTACACATGTATGTAGTACAGTAGTAAAAAATAATGGTACTACTTTGCAATAAGGCTCTAATAAATAGTTTATAGATATACTATTAATTTCTCTATAAACACTATATAAATCATTAATAACCGCTTATTATGCATTAATTAAGGGTGACAAAGAGACAAAACTGACCAGTTTATTGCCAAATAGTGAGTCAAATCTGCCCACTTATCTATTTCCTCTAGATTTGTTATATTAAACACATATCCTAAAAAAAAAAAAAAAAACAGGTTTACAAATGCACTTATTGTGCTCAAGGTAGTCACTTAGTCTGAAATGGTTAATATAACAACTCTAGATGAAATATGTAGGTGAACAGATTTGGTTCACTATTTGGTAAGAAACTGGACAGTTTTGTCTCTGTCACCCTTAATTAATGCATAATAAGCAATTAATGATTTATAAAGTGTTTATAAAGAGGAATTAATAACATATCTTTAAACTATTAGCTATCTGTAAGAGGAGCCTTACTGTAAAGTGATACCAAAATAATAATTAAGTGCTACAGTTCACACTTTACTTTTGTTGCCCACAGGACTGCTCTGTAGCGAGCTGTGGTGTGTTCAGGTGCAGCAGATTCATGGAAAGATTGGAGAAGATACCATACACCATCTCTGCAAACCTCAGCTCAGGATGGATAGAGCAGGTAATGGAAGTGTAGTTGATGTTAAAGCAGACTGGTCCTGATCACAATTTACTACAAATATATACCTTTTCACTTTGTTTTAGATTGGACTTCCATCTGCTAAATTTATCCTGACCAGCACGGCCGGTTTAGAGTACGACAGAAACCAGTACATCTTCTTCTCAGCAGCCTCAAATAACACCCCTCCTGTTCACCTGGTGACTGCACATTAATGTTTAAGTAAATGTTGGTATGTTTTACAAGAGCTTCCATTGAATCCAGATCATGTCACCTTTTCTTTCAGATTGAGGCTGAGGTAGAAGTGTTTCCTGAACCAGATTTTACCAAAGAGATCATAGGAGGATCTCTGGGAGGGCTGGTTTTTCTTGTTCTTCTCACTGCTGGTCTGTATAAGGTGAGTCACTACAATCTTTAATTAAATTACAAAAAATGTAATAAAAATCATGTTACAAATCAATATCAATGACTAATACCTATATCTTTCATTCTCAAATCATTACAAGTCATTCTTTTTGTTTATTATGTCCATTTATATTGAACACTATTCTTTTTTTTAACATTAAACTCTTTTGGTCACTCAGGCTGGGTTTTTTAAAAGCAAGTACAAGGACATGATTAGTAAAAGTGCAGAAGGAGAAGTCGATCCAGAGGCTGAAGGAGCTCAACCCACAGAAGAAGAAAAGTCAGAATAATTTTCATTCTTCAGGTCTCTGCTGTTTTTGAGCTGGAGCTGACTGTAGCTGAACACATGCAGATATTAAATTTTATTATATGTTTAAAATATTTCTGATTTGTTTTTATGTTACTACAGATGTGTGTTTAATTCTGTAAAACTATCAGTTCAGTCATTCTGTGTTTTATCACATAGAAGAGAGATAATTAACATCAAACAACAATCAGAAAAAATTGTAAAAAATAAATAAAAGTGCATGATTTTCTTCTTATACATAAACAACACTTCATACCTGTGTATGTTTTCTCTCTATAATGGCCACAATGAGTACTGGTACTCAAAGTTTGGACACAAAATATAAGGTATTGCACCATAATGACCACAGGGAGTTACAATAAATAAAAGTATCTATAAATGTAATATACTAGTTAACTGGCTTTAATGTAGCTTGCGAAGTAATTTATACTTCATATTTTACCACACAATATACTGTAAAACCTCTGAGAAAATGTGTTATGCTTAAAGCCGCTTAAATTACAAAAATGTGTGTGAAAATGACTTTAAAGGGAAATCATATTTTTAAAAAGTGAACTACAGACATTTTGTATAAAAACACATTTTTGATGTAATACATGTAAACTTATTGCTAGGTGTTGTAAAATTACAGCAGCTATGTAGATGTATTGAATAAAATAAAAAGATTTGAACGGTTTCCATGATTTAAGTTGATTATGTTTGAAAAAGCATGTCTCTCTTTTTAATTTACACAGAATATCCTTCAAACTGATAATGCCAGGATGTGCAGCTTTTTGTTCCAAATAAATTGTAGCTCAAATATGAAACTGAACTTGCGGGGTTGATTTTGCTCAAGACAACAGACTTTCAGTCATTCAGTAAAATTGGTATTTTGATAAATATTTACTGTCAGAATGAATTAGACATGTTAAAAAAATTACAAAACGTGCCACGTATTCAAATGTTCTTAAAAATATATTTTTTTACTAAAATGAGCTTTAACGTTCTAACAGAAAAAGGTAAAACAGCTTCCTTTGTTTTTTTTTTATATTAATTTATTTTAAAAGTGCATTCTTCTGAGTTATTAAAATTAAAATTGTTTTCTTAAAAGTTGTCTTTGGTCATGATTATATTTTTGCAGTAAAGATAATTTATCATCCTGACAAACAGCATTTAGAAATGAAATCGATGCTGAATATTTGGCGCCATCTGCTGGCAGTAAGGTGGAATTGCATGATGTTATAAAATTAATTTCCTGCCTGAGATGTTATTTTTTTCCGATAAAATGCAATAATAAAATCAAAAAGCGTCACAAATGCACATAATACACACAAAAAACAGCCGTTTTTTTTTTTTATATTAAGATCTTCTGAGATTATTTTCAGGAGTTTTTCTTCAAAAATACTAAAAATGTTGCTAAAATGTTGCTTTGTTGATGCAGACAGGTGAGTATCATTTATGCAGTTTTTTTCTTCATTCCTTCAATTGCTTTCCTTCGCTTCAGGTTGGTGTAGAGCAGCGCAAAGTTGATTATGTATGTGGACACACACACCATGCAGAAATCCTGCAGAACAAAAGCAAGGATGGATGCTAGATAAAGCGAACCAACAATGGACACCCAGGAGGAGAGGACGAGGGCCAGTGCTGCTTTTGTAGACAGAGTCAGTCCTGCAACCAAAACATGTAAAGTTCCCTCAGTTTATATAAAACAGGGTTATATAACCTCAAACAGCTAAAAATGCTAACCGAACCATGATAAACACAAGGTTCCAGCTTAAAAACACAACTCTGTAATTTTCTGAGGACAATAACACACTAACCGAGGCCCATCTGCAGAGTATAAAATATGATGCCGAGCAAACTGTTGGGTTGGTTCAGAGGACTATCTTGGGCCACGAAGAACTGGACCAAACCAAAACCACGTCCCCATCTGCCAAATAAAGAAGAAAAATGTAATGAACCATTCAAAATAATTGAAAGCACTTGTAAATTAATAGGCATGTATATAGTAAAAAAAAAAAACTAAAATAGTATTAATAAAATGCATGAAATAACATATTTGTTTTTTTCTCAGTGTAAAATAGCACTGATGTAAGGAATGTCTCAGGGTATTTCAAACATTTAACACGTGGCAATGAGAAACGGGTGGAAGCGCCATAAAACAAGTTTTCCATTACCAGTTTACAACAAAAACTGGCAAACTGGTCAAGTTTGTGGTTCCTGCCTAAACAAGAAGCAGGACTTTAAAAATCATACCTGGAGGTAAACACCTTGGAGCAGCTCACAGATTCACCCAGGTCGCACATCGCCCTGTAAGAGGAGTCTCTTTCTCTGGAGAGTTCCACGTGAAGAGCATAAACAGACAGAACCGAGCCGAGAAAACACAAAACGAGCCTCGCTGCTCTCTCCCACCTCGGTAAACTCTGAGCAGCGGCCATGTGAGGAGCTCGTGCACTGATCAGTAACGAATCAGTAACGAATGCACTGAAGGATGATCAAATATTTGTCCAGGCCACAGCAGTATCCTCAGCGAAGCGACGTGTCATTCTTCCCTCTGATTGGTCGGCTCCAGTTTACCTTCCTCTCATTGGATGGGCGGGGCCAGATGTGGCTCAGACCAGCTCAGACAGATGTGCGTTGTGTTCCCTTTCAGACCGTTTTGCCCTAAATCTTACAACTGACTCCCATCAATAAGGCAAAAATCAAACAAACTTTGTTGGAATTTATTACAATGAATACACGTGTTTGGATTTAGGACAAAGTAGCCACCCACACCAGATCATGTTATTTAATATCAATCAATCAACCAACCAACCTTTAAATATATAATATATATAGTACCAGTTGTATTTAAAAAAAAAGAATAAAAGCTATGTTAACTCAACTTTATTTATTCAGGTCATGTTTGGAGATGAGAACTGATGCTCAAACATTTCATCTGGTAAAATAGAGGTCAAATAAAATAATTATATGTCACTTTTCAAAAGCAGAGCAGACTCAAAATGTTTGAAATAAAAAAATAAAAAGTAGTAAAAGAAAATATAAAACCAAACAAAGAACAAAGAATAATTTACCAAAAGAACGTTGTTTTTGGTTTATTTTTATACAAATATATTTTGAGTTCAAGTTCAAAATATGACGTTTTATTTTGAAAGTCCACAAAGGAAGCGTTTTAACATGCAACTTTTCTATTTAACCACAAGAGGGCGACAAAAACAAATGTACGTTTAGTTCAATTCCGAATTACTACGAATTTTCTTAAAATGTCTAAAAAGGCAAATAAAGAGGGGGATGTGCTTATTTCCAGTCAAAGTGAAATCTGAAAACTTAAACAAAGTTCATTACTCACATAAAATGACACTCTCCGTCAAATTATTACCTTTTAGGCGACAGGCTTTAAAATGGCTATTGCAATGTCGTTATTGTCCACAAGAGGGCGGAAAAACACCCTAATATGAAAAAGACAGTGTAACAATAAGAAAATTGTACTCCTGAATTTCCTTCTTCGTCTCAATCTCATAACACAATCATTAAAACTCTCATGTGACGCAATCAGTGCAGACAGTATTATAATGTAAAAGTGCTGATCATAAAACACGGCGATGAACAGTGGTAGAAATTACAAAGTGCAGGAAACAATAGTTTAAATCCCCATGGAAATTAGAAACCAAAATATAGTTGAAGCCTAGATGTTATAAAATTCATGTAATAAAAAATATATAAACTGGCTAAAAAGATAGTTAACAAAACTCAATATATCGATGTTTTTTTCTGTTTGTATTTTTTTCTAGGTAAAAAAAAAGTAATCACTTTTATTTTGAAAGTATGCACATAGAAACTGGTATAATTTTATATTTTTGCTTACTGTGCACCACAAGAATAAGTAAAGGTGAGCCCTGCGTGGTATTGCTAATTATTTATTCATCTATTGCATTTATTGTGACTCTTATATAAATGACTGAATTTAAATGTTTCATGTAACTGAGTCAATTTGCGAAAAACTATATTACTTTCTTGCTCGGTTATTAATGATATTGTAACTTTTGCAGTATTAAGTTTGTAGTCATTTCTGGGTTGCACTACACAGATTCTTGTAATGCATCATTTATGAGTGAGAAAGTTGTTAAAGCCGACGTTTGTCAAATTGTGGAAAACATGTCGCCAGCCAAAATAAATAAATAAACAAACCAACAGAGACTTCGCTGTCCACATCCATGCCCCGCCCCTCGTTGGGTCTTGCCTTCTCATTGGACGGTTTTCCAGCCCTCCCCTCCTTTGATTGGTCGGTCTCACAGCACTCAAACAGAATACGGAACTGTTTGAGGAAGCGGCAGACAAAACAAGTGTATTACCGTGCTTGTGGGCGAATAAAAATACAAAACGAATGTTTTAATTTCTCTCTTAAGGTGCGAGTATGTTATGTTGTTTGGAAACTTGTACTTGCATTGTAGCATTTTGTTATATAAGTGGAAAACCATGGTTAAACGGCTCGTAGAAATCCAGAGCCTCAGGTAACGTTAGCTAGCCTACGCCCCTGCGTCAAGAAGTAGGTAAGACTGCTTCCTATCATGTAAATAAAATTGTTCTTTATTACTATTTATCACATATAATGTGTTACTTAATCCTAACATGGGTTTGTCCTGGGGGTTTTCTAAGTAATATACATGTTTCGCCTGTTAATGTAACCCAGGCCATATGATGAAGTTACAAAGTAACTGTTTTGTTTTTATTCTCGCTTTTCAAATAATAGTTCTCAATAAGAAAATACCTGCTGAGATTAATAAAAGATGTGTATTTGTTTTGACCTCAAAGGAAGCTGAATTTAGTCTGTAAGCTACATTACATTACAATAATTGGAAAACTATAATCTAATACCAAAAACATTAAAAACTGTTGGACATATACAGAAAATACTTTCACTAAGGTGTTAAAATGAGAAATACTCCTAATCTCTCTGTTTACGTCGAATTTGATATTTGTTTTAAGCAAAGTGTCATCTGAAGCTGTTTCTTGTTTCTTTATAAACTGTTTATTGATCATAAATTACACCACGTCAAACCTTTTGAATTTTAGCGTATATCGTTCCAATTATTTAAAAAAAAAAAACCAAATGAAACTAAAATTATCAAATGGGAACATTTCATGTTTTTTTTTTATACTTTAAAAAGTATTTGTGTTTCACTTTTCAACATTCATGCACTAAATGCACATTTGTTTTAAAATAATGCACAGAATTGTTTACTCGTTACATTAAGGCCCATGTTCATCAGAATATGTGCTGATTTCAAAACATGCACACATCATCATTTGGTGAGGCACAAAGGAAAAGCCTTCAAAATGGACCAAATGTGAGAAGAATAAACGATATGTGACAGACAAGGTATTCCTTATACACTAAAGAACCTATAAGAAAATACATGATAATGACTTGTTTCCTTTTTTTTAATAGGAAAATGTCAAATGAAGAGGGTGGCGAGACAAAAAATGGGAGCTCTCCTGAAAAAATGGCCACTGATAAAAGCAGAGAAAACCAGAACCAGCATGGAGCGGAGGCAGCAGGCAGCACCACAGACACCAGCATCGCAGCTAAAAACTTGGCTCTGCTTAAAGCGCACTCCCTAGATGTGAAGTTTGACGTTGGAGAGGAGTATGATATCATAGAAACCATTGGTACCGGGGCCTATGGCGTTGTTTCATCTGCCAGGAGAAGGGACAACGGTAGGGCTGATTTCCTAAATTGATGCAAAACATTTCCTCTCTTTAAAACAAGTCCTGATTGCCTGAAGTCTTCTCAACCTCTCTTCCACACTTCTTTCTACACTTGCACATCGCAGGCCAGCAGGTGGCAATAAAGAAGATTTCCAACGCGTTTGAAGTGGTGACAAATGCCAAACGAACATTAAGAGAGCTGAAGATTCTCAAGCACTTCAAACACGACAACATTATTGCCATTAAAGACATCCTTCAGCCAAACCTTCCTCACGCTGCCTTTAAGTCTGTGTATGTACTTTTCCCATTGATTTCTGGTGTCTGCACAACTCTGGAAGTTAATTTAAAAAATCTTTAGATGACTGCTTGTGCACTGAACATATCTCTCCTCCCCACTTCCTGTTTGTACAGGTACGTAGTGTTGGACCTCATGGAGAGTGATCTGCACCAAATCATTCACTCTGCACAGACTCTGACCCCCGAGCACACCCGTTACTTTCTGTACCAGCTCCTTCGTGGCCTTAAGTACGTGCACTCTGCCAACGTTATCCACCGCGACCTCAAACCCTCCAACCTGCTGGTGAATGAAAACTGTGAGCTGAAAATTGGTGACTTTGGCATGGCGAGGGGTCTGAGTTCACACCCTGAGGATACTTATTCCTTCATGACCGAGTATGTGGCCACCCGATGGTACCGTGCTCCTGAGCTCCTGCTGTCTCTAAGTCATTATACTTTTGCCATTGACTTGTGGTCTGTGGGTTGCATCTTTGCTGAAATGCTGGGTCGTAAGCAGCTTTTTCCCGGAAAGCACTACGTCCACCAGCTCCAGCTTATTTTGAGCGTGCTAGGCACTCCTCCTGAGGGTTTGATCAGTTCTATTAGGGCTGACAGGGTGCGCTCCTATGTTCAAAGTCTTCCATCACGAACCCCTGTTCCTTTGGCTAAACTCTACCCACATGCTGAACCAGAGGCTTTAGACCTTCTGGGGGCCATGTTGCACTTTGATCCTCGTGACCGCATCAGCGTGAGGGAGGCGCTGGAGCATTCTTACCTGGCCAAATACCACGACCAAGACGACGAGCCCAACTGTGTTCCCGCTTTTGACTTTGAGTTCGACAAGCTTCCGATGAATAAGGAACAAATTAAAGAGGCCATTTTGATGGAAATCCTCGACTTTCATAAAAAGAAACAGAACTCTCGTCAGAGACTCCAGTTCAGGCCTTTGGCGAGAATTACCACCGGAGTTGCATCACAAAACATGAGTCAGTGTAATGCTCAGCCTGAAACTGTAGACCTGACTGGACAGGCAATGGTTCCAATGGAACAACGCCCACGAACACAGCAAATCAGAGACGTGGACCTTCAACAGCAACAAGATCATTTACCAGCAGAAGTGAACCAAGCATTTACGACTCAAATGAAAACCTTTAATAAGCCTACAGCACTTTTAGAAGTTGCACCGCTTCGTGTGACCCAAACTTTGCCATTCCTTAGTAAAAGTGAAGGTGGTCCGGTAGATGTGGACATGCCCAGTGCAAACTCTGACAGCGGTCAGCCAGAGACAATAGATCTAACAACACCGGTGGCCAGCCAGGATGCTCCCTCAGAAACAATGAGACACAGCGATGTTCCTCAGGTGCCAAACACCCAGAACCAACTCATGGCTCAGGATCCCACCTCTATTCCTGCAACACAAGCACAGCCCACCACACTCCTTCATAACACGGTGCGTTCACTGTCTCTGTCTGAAGCACAGGCCCAGTCTCTTTCTCAGTCCCTCTCCCAGTCCCTGTCCAAGAAAGTAAGGCCTCCTCCACGTGCACCAGAAGGAGCCAGAAAGGAAGGAGCCATTTCAGAGGATACTAAAACTGCGCTCAAAGCAGCAATACTGAAATCAGTTCTCAGACACAAAACCAAGACTGGTAAGTTTATTTATCTGCTACTTTCTTTGTGGCTTGTTTTCCTTTAATTGGCCTTTATCTTTGTTTTTATTTATTTTTTTTTTTTAATGGAGGTGCCTTGGTTCTGGGCATCGACGTTGGCATACCAGGAGGCGTCTCCTTCTCCACGTGTTCCGCTCCAGAGTCGCGCCGGCCTGTCACAGCACAGGAGCGTCAACGAGAACGAGAGGAGAAAAGGAGGAAGAGGCAGGAACGAGCGAAAGAACGGGAGAGGAAAATGAAGGAAAAGGAAAAAAGAGAAGGGAAACGAGGAGATTTGCTGGGCGGGGTTCTGCTGAGCGACAATGACAAAAGTCTGCTGCAGCGCTGGACAAAGATGATGGACAGCTGCAGTGAGAAGTGCCAGGCTGTGATGAACGATGGAGCAAACAACAAAGACTGTAACGTGAACTCGCACGGTGGTGCAGCTGTTGGTGACAAAGCTCCGAACAATAAGACGGAGAAAGACGCTGCAAAGGTTCAGTCTCATGAACAGGTACCATCTCAAGTAAAACCAAACCAGCAGGGGTTGTTTCAGCCTCCCAGCACACAGCAGCTGCCTGTACCTTTCTCCATGAGCCAGAACAAGCCTCCAGCAGATATGGTTGCTGTAAGCGGAGGGATAGATATGACCGTCGCTGGTGGATTCGATAAAAACAACACGTTCAAGCATACCAAGAGCAGCATTCAAGGTGGGTTCAGCTGTGTGGGGAACTGGAGCGGCCCGCAACTGGAGACGAGGCTGCCGCAACAACCAAACATGACATCACAGCCGTCGCCATCATCGAGCTTTCTTCAGCCTCACAGTCAAACCCAATATGACCCTAAACCTCAGCCGCAGCTGCTCCCACTCGAGAGTTTTTTGTCCAAAGCTCCAGCTCTGAGCACCAGAGAGACAAATGGGAATGTGGACGTCAGAGGCCAGAATAACATCAACCCCTTGACTTCAGCGACGAGACCGATGGAGAAGCTTTGTCCTTCTGTAGAGGAGAAATCAGCAACACAGAGCACAGACCCCCTCTGTGGGACTTTAGGGGTTCCTTCTCAGCCGCACCCCAGTTTAGTATTTACAGATACTGGTCAGCAGGGACCCTCCATTGCCCCCGACATCAATAAAGTAACACAGCAGCTCTCAAAGTCACAGGTATGGATTTTTTTATTTATGTTTCATTTGTGTGAATGTGAAACTTTAGTCATTACCTGTTTTAAACTGAGTTGAAGGGCTCCGTTGAATTGAACAAACGTTTTCTGCTTTTCCCTGTCAGGTGGAAGACATTTTACCTCCTGTGTTCTCAGTCACCCCTAAAGGCAGCGGTGCTGGCTACGGAGTGGGCTTTGACCTGGACGACCTTCTCAGCCAGTCACTAACAGACCTGCAACACTGTGACCGGGACAGGTGAGCTCTAATAGTTTTTAATGGGAAGAAAAAAACCTGTTTCGTTTTATGCAGCCGTATTAATGTATTCTGTATTTCTCTGAGGGCTGTATTTTTATTTCACTAGGGAGTTTTTAATGCAACTTTTTCACATGCGATTGTAATATTTAATCAAATTATGTTGATTTTCTGCAGCTTAAACAGTTTTTGTCTGCTACATTTAGCCTGGAAAGCTCAGTTAATAGCAGCAGTTTGATGTAAAATAAATTCAAAGCTTTTAAGTACCAATTTTTTTTCAAATTTTCTAGTGCTTAAAGCAGAAAGGGAGCTTGTGATTCAAATCAGACCTAATTTTTAATGAATCGGTTAGGAGATCTGCAAAAGCAGTAGTTTATATTTAACACAAATCCTTATAGTGGGCAATCTTTTTGCTTTGTGGATAAAGTATCTATAATATAGTGTTTAATAGACTGAAGATTTGTGCACCAGTGAGGTTAGGGTTTTATCAACACACCTACATTTCATATATTTTTTTTCAACCAACTTGGATTCACTCTTTGTTTGTGCAATCGTTGTACCTGACCATGACGCCAGCACCTTATGCAGTCTACCTAAAATTATTAGAAGGGTCAAAGAAGTGACAAACCTAAAAGTAACAATAAAATAAAAACCTCTTCAACTGGTGGACATTATCGGACAGTCTTTATAAAGGAAGATTTTCAGGACCTGAGATCATCCTGCAGTTGATCACCTACTGCTGAAGTTTTCACACGATGTTGGATTTTTGTCGAGTCAAGTAAAGAAAACAAAACGTCTTTGTGACAGAATGACTGTTAAACGAGCATTAAGATCCAATTTAAAATCAGTTCTTTGCTAAGTGTGAGTCCAAAACTGGTTCATTTCTTCAGTTCGAGAGCCTTTTTACACCTGAATGGCTCCAAGGTCAAGAGCTAAATGGTTTAATGAGCTAACAAAAAGAATAAAACAACAGTCCTTTGGTCAGACAAAGAAAAAAGGTAAAGCAACTGTAGTGAACTAGGCCTGAGGTCAAATCCTGACCTTAAGGACCTTATGGGACAGAAACTGTCATTTCATTGAATTGAATCCAGAAATACAGGTTGACCCATCCTGAGACTTTCTTTCTTGAATTAATCAAGTGAAAGAACACTCTCTTTTCTATTATCATTACTATTTTACAAATGTTTTGATAATCAAATTCTGTTTAGTTCAAACCATTTCCAAATGTTGAAGTGAACTACTCATTTTTAAATCAACTGTGAAACAGTATTAGTGATTGTTAATCCTCATTCAAAGTAAGAAATCAGGTTAATGATGAATTGTCTGATTTTCTGTCTTCAATGAGCAAGTTGTGTAAGTTGGTCAAAGTTCAAGTTTCGGTCAACTGCAAGTTTACTGAAAAAGAAATGTCATGTTTAACTTTTACAGCAAGATACTAGAGAATTGACTCCACGAAGTCTGAGTTCTTCATAATATCTTTTGTCTGTTCTTAAACAATCTTAATCTTTTTCCTTGACTTTTTTAACCTCTTACATCACAAAACACACCTCTGTTTTGGTCCATCGACCAATCAGAAAGTTCTCAAATGAACCGGAAGTGAGCTCTTTTTAAAAGGTGCAACACTTCCTAGTTCACAAAAGTTCTGCAAGAGGTTCCAGCTCCAAGCAGTTCCAGAGTTCAGAAGGCTGGAATTCAGGATGCTGGAGGAAGAAAATAAGCTGAACGAGAGATCAGGGAATTATGAAATGTCTGTTCTGGATGATCTCACGACTCCCGAGGTTTAGCTGTTCTTACGGAGACGCTGGAAGAGTTGAAAGGAAAGCTCTACACCAACGCTGAAACTATCATCTGCAAAGGTAAAGAGTGGATCTCAACCAAAGTGTACCGTTAGGTCAAGCTGGTCTAGAAGGAGCGTGTTGTTCTGGTTAAAACAGACAAATTCCCTCACACATCTCTCTCAAGATAAACTTCATTTCCCATCTTTAAAATTCTTCTATCTGCTAGCAAATTAATCCAGAAGCAAGGGAAACAATCGCCGTATTGTTTCCTCCTTGTAAAACTAGCCTAAATAAGCTGTTGTTATTTTCAATTTTTGCCAATTAATGTACATGTGTGATGTGTTAAACTTGACTCTGTTAATAAATGACCCACTGTCGTTGGTGAGTCAAAGATAATTAACGTCTCACGTTACATTTTTAATTATTCAATGCACGATATTATCCAGTCCAGAAAAATGAAAGAATCCATTTAATTTATGAATATATGACAGCATATGTTCATCTACACAGCAGCCAAAGTTCAAATAAAAGTCGACCATATAAAAGTTAAATCAAACGATTTCTTTGCTGCAAACCTAATAACTTAGTTTCAGTTTGATGTGGTTGAATTTTTTTATTTAACAAATTTTATAACGGTCTGTAAATGATTAAACAACTCTATGCCTTAAACGCTACAAAATAGTTTTAAAGCATACAGGTCTTTCTCAAAAAATTAGAATATTGTGATAAAGGTAATTATTTTCCATAATGTAATAATAAAAATGAAACTTATATATTTCAGATTCATTGCACACCAACTGAAATATTTCAGGTCTTTAATTGTTTTAATACTGATGATTATGGCATACAGCTCATGAAAACACAAAATGCCTGTCCCAAAAAATTAGCATATTTCATCCCACCAATGAAAGACAAGTGTTTTTAATACAAAAAACGCCAACCTTCAAATAATCATGTTCAGTTATGCACTCAATACTTGGTCGGGAATCCTTTTGCATGAATGACTGCTTCAATGCGGCGTGGCATGGAGACAATCAGCCTGTGGCACTGCTGAGGTGTTATGGAGGCCCAGGATGCTTCGATAGCGGCCTTAAGCTCATCCAGAGTGTTGCGTCTTGCGTCTCTCAACTTTCTCTTCACAATATCCCACAGGTTCTCTATGGGGTTCAGGTCAGGAGAGTTGGCAGGCCAATTGAGCACAGTAATACCATGGTCAGTAAACCATTTACCAGTGGTTTAGGCACTGTGAGCAGGTGCCAGGTTGTGCTGAAAAATGAAATCTTCATCGCCATAAAGCTTATCAGCAGATGGAAGCATGAAGTGCTCCAAAACCTCCTGATAGCTAGCTGCATTGACCCTGCCCTTGATAAAACACAGTGGACCAACACCAGCAGCTGACATGACACCCCAGTGACTGTAGAAACTTGACACTGGACCTCAAGCAATGTGAACTCTGTGTCTCCTCTCTTCCTCCAGACTCTGGGACCTTGATTTCCAAAGGAAATGCAAAATTTACTGTAATCATAGAACATAACTTTGGACCACTCAGCAGCAGTCCCAGGCGAGATGCTTCTGACGCAGTCTCTTGTTCAAGAGTGGCTTGACCTGGGGAATGCAGCACCTGTAGCCCATTTCCTGCACACGCCTGTGCACGGTGGCTCTGGATGTTTCTACTCCAGACTCAGTCCACTGCTTCCGCAGGTCCCCCAAGGTCTGGAATGGGCCCTTCTCCACAATCCTCCTCAGGGTCCGGTCACCTCTTCTCGTTGTGCAGCGTTTTCTGCCACACTTTTCCCTTCCCACAGACTTCCCACTGAGGTGCCTTGATACAGCACTCTGGGAACAGCCTATTCGTTCAGCAATTTCTTTCTGTGTCTTACCCTCTTGCTTGAGGGTGTCAATGATGGCCTTCTGGACAGCAGTCAGGTCGGCAGTCTTACCCATGATTGCGGTTTTGAGTAATGAACAAGGCTGGGAGTTTTTAAAAGCCTCAGGAATCTTTTGCAGGTGTTTAGAGTTACGTCATTGATTCAGATAGTTAGGTTAATAGTTTGTTTAGAGAACCTTTTCATGATATGCTAATTTTTTGGGACAGGCATTTTGGGTTTTCATGAGCTGTATGCCATAATCATCAGTATTAAAACAATTAAAGACCTGAAATATTTCAGTTGGTGTGCAATGAATCTGAAATATATGAAAGTTTCATTTTTATCACTACATTATGGAAAATAATGACCTTTATCACAATATGCTAATTTTTTGAGAAGGACCTGTATTTAGTGACCTTTGATCGAGCTCTAATGTTGTAGAAACAACATGCGTGCATTCATTAAAATTAACAGATAACGCTGAATCTCTTAATGACAGCAAAAATCAGGCTTTATGGAAGAGGTGCATAAAATGTAAGTCAGCTGAATCAAGAATCCAAAAACGAACCCTCCTTCACAGATTTTCAGTTTTTATCCCTTGTGCCACGACAGCATTTACTTGTCCCTCGTACGCTCAATCAGAGGATGTTCTGGGTCGGGGCCTCAACCCAGACTTCACGGCATCTTTGTTTCTGTCTGTAGGTTCACAGATAACAAGTCACGTCTTGTTACGCTGCCTGGTAAACAAAATGCTACTTCACTAACCGATGTTAATTTTAAACAGGCTTTTGTTAAATATTGCCAAGTAGTCTGAGTTTAATAGACCTTAGCTCACGCATCATGCAGGAGTTTCAGTGTTACAGGTTTGTACTTTCTTTCATTCCTTGCATTTTTTGTCTCCTCCAGTTACGACTCAGCCCCCCTCTCGGCCTCCCTGTTATCTGATTGGAGCGAGGTCCACCGCATGACTCCCGCTGACCTGGAGTCACTGCAGCAGGAGCTACAGCTTGGCTCTCCCATGATCCTCTCCGATACCATCCCCCCCGATGCTTGACTCACCCCTTTTCCCCAAAAAGCTGCTTTCGTTCAGATCTCTTTTTAATGTCAAAACCTGAGCGGAAATATTTTTAATTCAACATGAACGCTGTTTTTATTGGCACTGCAAAACGGTCCGTTTTTATTTAAAACCATTGACATGTTGAATTTTCTGTTGAATAAAAACATTTCATCATCCATGTCTGCTTCTGGATGTTTAATGAGTGAGCTTAAAAATCAAAACTTTGCAAAGTTACGTTGACTTCGTTTTAAGAAAAGCTCAGAAAAAAATGCAAGCTTATTCCACTTTTAAAGTAGCATCAGGGGAAAAAATAAAAAGACGTCAAACTCAAGTTGAATAGGACAAAAAGCTGATTTAAAAATGAGTTTATTCAACAATCAGACACATTTATTTTGTACAACAATTCTGATTTAAAGTAAAAAAAAACAATACATCTGCCTTTAATAAAAACTCAAGTGTAGTTGTAGATATACAGATTCTGTGTAAAGTTTCTTATGGCTTCATGTGCGTTTCAGATGCAAACTGATTTTGTTTGGACTATTAAAGAGGACTTACACTTTCTATTAAACTCCTTCATTCAGAGTGCTTTTGGCAGAAACCCAGTTTCCAAAGCCCCTCATCTGTAAAGCACCAGCAGCAGAGAGGACAGACAGCTGAACAAAACTCCGACCCCCCCACACCAGTTCTGATGCGCTCGGCCGTACAGTGGGATCTCTGGTATCATGCTGCGGATGAAGTCTGGGTAGCTGGTCAGCCTGGCGTACACGCCCGGCTTGTTCTGGTTTGCACAGCCTAGTCCAAAACTCACCACCCCAGCCTGGACCCAGGTCCCGTTTAGCATCCGGCAGACTAGAGGTCCTCCTGAATCACCCTTAGGAGACAATGAGGACATTTTAGGAATTTAGAAGGCTCGTCTTTCATAAAAACTTAAAAGTTTAAAGAATCAGTCCATTAAAAATTCTGTCATAATTAAATACAAGTCCCTTAATGTTAAATAAACGAAAAGAGCACAAATATAAACTATTTTGCACAAACAGGCCTCCATAATGGGAGTGGGTAATCTTGTTTTATTAAACAATTTTTCCTAAAATGTGAAACCACCAATAAAAGGTCAAGTTTATTTTAGTTATTTAATTGAAAGTAGAGGTCTATATGCATTTATATAAAAACGAATGAGTTGATTTACATAAATTCACGATTTATTTAAATCTTTAAGTGTGTTTTGTGGCTTTGGCGAGTTTTATTTAGTGTGCAGAAATGGCTGTTTCGATTATAAAAGGTTTCAGAGCCTCGAACTAGGTGATGACTGCAGAAACAAGAAGTTACGTGAAAGAAAGCATCAGCACACAGCTGATCCAATAGTACCTGGCAGGAGTCTTTGCCACCCTCCTGGTATCCAGCGCAGATCATGTCATCAAGGATGTCTATCTGCTCCGTTGGGTCTGTTCTGTACATCTGCTGACATGAACTCTGGGAGATGATTGGCACCTGCACCTCCTGCAGAGTCCCAGCTCCTTGCAGAGGAACTGAAGAAGGTATGAAAAAAAAATACAATTTAATCAAACTTTAAACCCTGTTTATAATGTCAGAACCTACACATGGCACCAACGAACATAACAAACACCATTTTTCTTGAACATTACATTTCAAGCTTTACCATTTTCTCGGATGTTCCCCCAGCCAGTGACGTAGCACGCCATATCAGCTGGGAACAATGTGCTCGATGCAGGCAAGCAGATAGGCCGGATATAGTTTGACCAGGTCACTGGGCTGGACAGCTGCACCAGAGCCACATCTCTTCCACTGTGAGGTTCTACGTAACCCGACGGAACCACTACCTGGGTCACAGTGCGTGATGTCTCGTGGGGGTTATAAGCATTCAGCTGGTACCGGCCGACGTAGATGATGTAAGAGCCCACGTCTGATGGACTGAAAGAAGACAAAAGGCACTCAGTTAAACCCGTGAAACACAAAAACATATCTACAGTATATAATAGAATACTGGGTGCAATAATGGGTACGATGGATGTAACTACCGTACCCACCACTGCACCCTTTACTCACTGGTTAACTGGACATCATTAACTTCAAACAGACTCTCTCACTGGTCCATTTTCATCTTTAAATCACTTCTTGGTCTGCTGCCTTCATACATCTCCTCCTACATGTCTCTGCGTGAGTGCAGCTCCAGCGTGCGCTCTCAGGACATTATTACCTGCAGTGTTCCCTCAGTGAGGACTGAACTTAGCAAAAGGACCTTCTCCTACTCCGCTCCTGTTTCCTGGAATATCTTACAAAAAGATCTGAAGCTCTCGACCTTGACCTCTCTAAGTGGCTTCAAAACATCTGTTAAGTTCCTGGCTAGAACCAATGCAGACATGTTCCTGTTTTTAGTATTTTACATCGCTTTACAACCTGTTTTTTTTGTTACATTTTTTTAATGCCATTTTATTTTCACTTAATCTTCTCAATTTGTACACATCCTTTATGATTGTCTATTGTCCACTGTTGTCATCACTCCTTGTTAAAATCAGGTCTCTCTTGTAAATGAGTCCTCGAGGCTCAATGGGACTAAGCTGTATAAATAAAAGGTTGAATGAAAAAAAAAAGTAGTCCTTGTTTATCACGGGGTTTAGTGGACCACGCCCCAGCGACAAGTGAAAAACCATGAAGTAGGAACATGTCCAAGTTTCACTCCCAATCTCCCACCTTCTGTGTAAAAAAAACTATTTAAATGCTGTAATATTTTAAATAAACAATCCATGCTGTATGGATTGTTTATTAAAAATATTACAGCATTTAAATTGGAGAGAAGAGAAGCGCAGCAGGACAGCAAAGGGTTAACCCTTCAAGAGCAGAAATATGTGGGTGGCAGAGAGCCGCAGGTGGCAGAGAGCAGTGATCATGACAGGCTGCAGAAGGAGCTTCTCCCTGCACCTGTGGGCTGCACACAGGTGCTAAATAATTTTAAATAATTTTAAATAAACAATCCATGCTACACAAGTGGCTCATCCATCAATCAGCCAATTGTTTGTCATGTCTACTCTTACTTTGAAAAACCGCGAAAGAGCAAGTCCGCGAAAAGCCGAACCGCAAACTAGCGAGGGACTACTGTATATCCTAAATTTTTGTTGTGCAAACATTCGAAAGTCAGTGACTCCATTAAAATTTAAAATACAAAAGCAAACAATGAATCAAAAAATAATTAGTACTTTGTTAGATTTCAACAGTGTTTGTCTATAATGTGCTGTGTGCATTGGTTTTTAATCGCCTGCTGCTGACAGAGAAAGGCCAGTAATGGTTTTGCTCGCATCCATACTGTTAGCAAAATCTCTCAGTTGTGGACACGTGTTAATGACACTTTCAGAACGTGATGATTGTGTTCACATCTACAACACATTAACTTTTGGAGTAAACTGCATTAAAGATGGCTACCACAGCAAGGTGATTCTGCAAACACAAAAAGCTACAACTCAGAACTTGTCCAATAATTATTGAAAGCAACTGTCTGTTAGGAAAATATCTCATGAACCACTAAAGAGATCATAATGGATACTTTTAGAAGTAAACATTGGGTTGTGAGCTACAACCAATACCTTCTGAGACAGTCTGGATGATCCCCCCATAAATATTTTATTGTAAATAAAGTGAAGGAAGTGTCATTTAAAATTCTTCATAAAATTTACCCCGCTAAACATTATATGATAAAATTGAAAGGAGACATAAATATTGATTGCAGTTTTTGTGGTGACCAGAAACTGTGACACATATTTTTTTGGCACTGTCCTTTCACACGCAGTTTTGGAAGGAGTTTAGCAGGTTTATCAATAACCATATTTTAAAGGAATTTTTCCTTATGTTGGGAAAATGTTTTATTTTCTTTTACTAGATTTCCCAGAAAGGATGCTAATTTTTTTTTAAATAATAAACTTACTAAATATTTTTGGCCAAATTTTACATTCATAAATGTAAATTTACTAAGAAAACACCATGCTTTCTTCATTTTATTAAGGATGTGGAACTATATGTAAAATTCATCACGGACTCTACCAACAAAAAGGCCCTTAGGACAATTTCTATCTGTAAATCTTTGCAAATATTTGTTTTTTAAAAAAAATCACACCCATGGTTGTTTGTTCATATAAGTGTTGTGTTCGTCTGTATACTCCATTCATTTGTTTGTTGTATACTTGTCATTTGCTTCAATAAAGATTTATTAATAAAAACAAAAAAAAAACCAATTACCTTCTGGATTCAACCCAGTTTAAAATGGCTGCCACAGCTAACTAATCAACACATAAATAATCATAACTATTTTACACATATCCCACTAATATTCAATGTGGTAGTGGCTGAGCATCATGCCTAAGACATACCATAGGCGTGACAACTTTCCTTAAACTCTTGGTCTTACCTGAGGCAAACCAGCTCAAGATGGCCGCCACAACTTAACACTGAGACTAACCTGTATAAATAAAGGCTGAATAAAATTAATTTGTTCAGGTCATCTTGTTTCCAAGGCTTAAAAACCACTTTCAGGTCAACAGATTGTCAAGATCAGAATGTAAAAAAGCTGATTTAATTTTTTTTATTTAACAAATCCTATAAGCCTGACGGGTCACTTTTTGATCACTGGAATCTGAGCAAAATGCACGAACTCACCTGTCCCAGTGATCAGATGTTGTAACATACATACTGTAAGCCTAAACTACACCTGGGATGAAAAACAGCAGGTGGTGCTAGGCCTTTAGTTTAGACAGCATCACCTGAGTATTTTTAAATGATTTACATCATTGGCATTTCCAATGTGTTGTCTACATATTCTTGGAAGCCACACGAACGAGCCTGTCAAACGTGATCAAACGACCCAAGTGCCAGCAAATACACGAAAAGTCGGGTGTTTTTCCTGAGAAGTGGTTTCTTACTTGGGGAAACAATGAGCAGCTGACAGGACCCAGGTATCAGTGATGAGGGAGCCTCCACAGATATGACTGCCAGACTTCTGCAAGAGGAAAAACACAGCGAGTCACCTCTGCCTCACAAGCAAACCCTCTGTCAGCAGGTCATCATGGTAAACAAACCAGACTATATACTGTACCACATTTAACTACCCTCAGGCACAGCTCAACTAAACTGCACACCCAGAGGATTAAAGTGTAAACGTGTTGTTTCAGAGGGACTTACCTGGATATCCACCTGCCAGGGCCAAGACCCATCCATGGCGTTCACCCCTCCCACAATTCTGTCCTCTTTTAACGGTGAATAGCCACATTCCTGGGCTTCAAACCCCACAAAACCTGAACAAAAACACAAAATACTTCTTATAAATCCACGACAAGGCGCAGCAGGACACATTCAGGTGAAGCGTGTGACGAGAACACGGTGTTTGTTTGTCAGAGTTGAGGCGAGGAGGGGTGAGGCAAGAGGTTTCACTCGATACTCACCTGCTGCGCACAAGACAAGCAGCTCAAAGAACTTCCAAGACATTTTTGGAGGCATTTCGCGGTTTAAAACAATCAGTAAGGAAGCCCAAGGTTTTGCTGAGGCGATAAAAAAGTATTTATTTGACTTAATTGATCAAAAACTACATTTAATTTTCGTTAATCTATCAGTAAAGAGTCCGGGTAAAGTTTAAAAAGTTACATCTCGTTCGTTTAATCCCTTTTCAAAGCCTTTTTCCCGCCAGTAAAATCCTCGTAAGCTCCCGCGACTTGTGGCATCTGATGAATTCCAGGTATTCGTTTTAACCGAGCAAACTGGCTACCTGGGGTTTGTGACGCCCAATCCAACATTTTGTCCCGCCCCCTTCAGACACCTGAGCCAATGAAATGAGAGCAGGGTATGTCACGGACCAATCACATTCACGTTTAGCGTTACACGTTTTTCCAAAATAAAATGCTTCTCCTTCACTGCAGGATTAAAAAGAAGAAAAAAAATAAACCAAAGAAAATATTTTAACTGAATTATACAAGAGATAGCTAAGCAATGGGACACATTTATTGATTTATGTTTTACTTTTTTTTTTACTTCCCCCCCAATAACTAAATCAACATTTTTTGTGCTATTATAACAATTTTTGTAGAAACCTTCAGTTTATTCTAGACATGTGCTATAACTTGGGAAATTTGCAACTATTATGCATTTAATTTTTTAAAACCTTTATTTACAAATATTTTCCCAACGAAAAACATTAAGACATCTTGGATTCCTTCAAAAACGTTGTTTTTATTGCAAGCTCGCTCTTTTTTTCCTTCATAGGCTATAAAAAAAATCTAAAACCACAAGACATTTGGGCTTTAAACTCTATTATCAGTAACAAAAGTGAGCTGTTCTCTAATGATTCATAGATTAAAGAAAATGTCTGAAATTTAAAATAAAAAATGCAGGTTGAAATGAGATGATCCTTTCAAACACTAAATAAATGGTTTTTAGGAATTATTTTATTAACAACTAAAATTATTTAAGAATCAAGAGCACCAACAACACCAGTCTGGAAAAAAAAACAAAAAAAACATTAATGAAATAAATGTTTTAACAGGCACTGAAAATGGCTTTTAGAGGAGAAAAGCATTGCATGCTGTTTTAAAATCTTTTTTTGTGTGTTTTGTAAGTTAAAAACAATCTTCTTATATTGAAGTTTTTGAATCAATGTAATAGGGGAGGTTATAACAAAATGTAAAACGTGTAAATGTAGTGGGAAACTGATCTTTATAGCTCAGAAATCCCAAATTGCACAAGATATTTCATTGTGAGAGGCCTAGTTGGGCCAAAGGAAGCAACAAGGAGACAACAAAGACACATGTTTAGTAGCTTTAATTCTAAAAAGCAACTAATATGCTGAAATACAAGGGACGTTTTGATGGAAAACACAAACTGAGAGATCAACACACACAACCAGGTTAAAGGTCAAACCTTAAACGGTTTATATTCTGTTTATTCAGGAGATGGATTATTTAAAGGTTGAAAGAAAAACAGTGACACAATCAACTTTCTGCTGTAATCCCATTGGTTTTACATGTCAACAAATACTTATCCTTTCTATCTGTCTATAAAGCTGTCTGTCTTCTCTTTTCTATCCTCCCTCCCTCCCTCCCTCCATGCATCTCTCCCTGCCTGCCTCCCCCCCTCTGTCCCTCCACGCCCCAGGCAGTGTGTCTAGTTTCACAGAGCAATTGAAGGTGACAGGGACAGAGAGAGAGGGAGAGGGAGGGAGGGACAGAGGGAGGACACATCACAGTATCGCCTCGGGCTACACAACAGTACAGGAAGAGCAAGAGATGGAGGGACAAAGAGAAAAGAAAGGAGACACTCAGAAAAGTCCTCACAGAGGAGTCTGTGTGCAGGTAACGGTGAGGCTGCAGGAAACGAGCCGAAACGTGCGTTAGAGTGAGTGTCTCATGTGTTCACCTGTGGGTCAAAGGTATCCCTTCTTCAGGGTTTTAAAGTTTATTTCTGTGCGTGCGGACCCCCCCCCCCCCTCTGCTTCCCTCACTCATAACATATTAACACAATATTGGACCCCAGTCAGCAAGAGCAATTACAATGCACTCCAGTTTGTTTTTATTCTTACAACTTGATGAATATTTGTCATGGCATTGTAACCATGGTGACTGCCTCCCCCTCACCTCCCCCCCCCATCCTTCTGCATCCCCCCCCACTCAGTGTGGAAAAAGCGAGGGATGGCGGTGGAGGGAGAGAGAGGGAGAGAGAGGTGACAGGAATGAACTAACAAGATGCACTAAAAAAATGCATGTCCTGGAGCAGCATGAATCTTTGCAGTGAAGCACGCGCCGCCTCGCCACGCACACACACACACACACACACACACACACAAATGCACACACACACACTTGCTCAGTACTGCACTCAACACATAGGGATCAGATAGGTTAAACCAAATTCCAACAACTGGAACAGAAGAAAACAGCAGTTTCTGAAAAACAACAAAACAGATAGCAGCTTGAAAACAAAGGAGCAGAGCGGATGACTGTGTGCGGCAGGAAAAAAACAAACAAACATGTTTTGGGGGTTTTATTAATGCAACAACCAAATAATTTAGTTACACAACTTTTTATTGCCTTCCACTCTTTGAATTCTCACATTCTGTGTCAAATTATGTGTTGATGCAACTCTCAATGAGAAAAAGAAAAAAAAAATGGAACGGAATGGTACCTTTTCTGTACCACTTTACAATAAGGATACACTTATAAATGCTAATAGTTTATAGATATGTTATTAATTCCTCTAAACACTTTATAAATCATTAATAACTGTTTATTATGTATTAATTAAGGGTGACAGAGACAAAACTGACCAGTTTTTTTGCCAACTAGTGAGACAAATCTGTTCACCTATATTAAACATTTCAGACTAACCTTGTAAGCACAATAAGCATTTGTAAACCTAATTTTTTTTTAGCATATAATAATGTACTTTATCACTGCATTATAAGTTTCTACAACTAATATTATATCCTAAAAAAATAGGTTTAAAAATGCTTATTGTGCTTAGTCTGAAATGTTTAATATAACAACTCTAGAGGAAATATAGAGGTGAACAGATTTGGTTCACTATTTGGCAAGAAACTGGTCAGTTTTGTCTCTGTCACCCTTAATTAAGGCATAATAAGCAATTAATGATTTATAAAGTGTTTATAGAGTAATTAATAACATATCTATAAACTATTTATTAGCCATCTATAAGGGGAGTCATATTGTAAAGTGGTACCACATTTTCTTAAAAAATATATTTTTACTACAAAATTATATAAAATAATGTAAATTAGCACATTCGGCAAAGACCAAAATACACTCAAAATAGTTGTTTTATGTTTGTTGTTACACATCTTAAAGAAAGGCAATTGAAATATAAAAAAAAAAAAAAAATCTTCCCTAACAATATACTAACAAGTCTTACAATTCTTATCACCCACTGCTCAAATAAGAGGAAATCAATTATGTTTTTGCCGGTATCTGTATGAGTGTTTTTTGTTTGTCCTGCACGGAACGGTTTCTTTTAAAACTCCCAGAAAGTAATCAATGGATGTGCATTTAGAAGTGGAGTTCATCTAATTCAAAATAGTTGAACCAGCTAATAGACATTAGCCAACACAAAAATGACTGTAACTCAGTCGGTTTAACAGATACTGAGCTAAAATTACATGTGGTAGTAGCAGAGAGTGATTCTCAAGACATACTCTGAGAATGATTTCTTGTGATAAGGCTACATAAAATGTTATTTTCAAAATTTGACCAAAACTGCTATTGTTTCATTTCTCAACACTGGATGCTCTTTGTCTGAAACTCTTGCATGAAAGGCATGATGTGCATTTTTTTCAAGGAATGCAAAACCATTAATTTGTTACTTGTGAGCCCAGTTCTGCCACGAGTCTTTTATCCTCAAGGCTTTTAAGTTCTGACCCAAAGTTGGGGTGCTGGTACCGGCTGAATTTTAGTAGATTTGTTTTGCAGGTTTAAAAAAAATAGCGAGCATGACCTACCCTAAAGCACACAAAGAAGCTTGAGTTTCCCTTTGACCATTTACATACAAAGCACTGCCTGTATGTCTTTGCATCAGTTTATGCACCCTCAAAGTAGCTGTTTGCCTTCTCCTGTAAACTGCACTTTACTTTTAATCAAGTATGAAACTTTTAATCAAGCATTGTAATTCTTTGACTTAAGTGATGTGTCTACGCACATCTTCCACCACCGTTCCTTTTTACCTTTGAACTTGTCAAGTCCTTTCTTTTCTCCGAGGCGCATCTCGGAGGAAAGTAACAGAGAAGTGGGGGGGGGGGGGGGGGGGACAGCAGAGAAAGAATACCAGAGTATGAAAGAGAGAGGGAGCGACAGAGAGAAAGGGAGCGCAAAGTCTTGTCAACCGGAAATAAAACAAGCTGGCACCCTCCCCATCCCCAAGCCCCTGCACCCACCCCAAAGTCATACACTTCCTCTTCACTCCCTCTTTCTCTCCCCTCTGCCTCCCTGCTCACATGCATCCTCTGTCTCTCCCTTCCACTGCAAAGAGTTATATTTAAACCCCTGGTTCTGCTCTGCTCTTCCTCTTTGACTTGACCATACATGCCGTCATACCTGCGTCATTACTTACACCTCACATTAGACCTTGTGTGTCCAAGAGTTTGTGTATGATCCTCTAACCTGCTCGAGGTCCCTGACAGGGCCTTTGTTTATTCTTCCATTTAGCTGTAAGAAAGTAGCCAAGAGTGTTACAGCAGGAGAACAGTACCTCTGCACGTGGAGCGTAACACACACTCGTGGTGGACCTTTTGGCGTAAATCTGATCCCATAAGTACGTTTGTATACACAGGAAACAATGCCTGTGAGTTATCCAAAAAGCAGAATCTGCATTAAGGGTGCACCGATGGCAGTTTTCTGGCCGATCACGATCACGATCACCCATCTCTAAAAAGTCTGATCTGCCGATTCCGATTTTGGCCGATACCAATTTTGTTTATAAGCGACACTGTCAGGTGTTATAAGGTCACAATGCACCTTGAATTTTCCAATCTTATTTCATTGAAAAGCATACCCTTGAACAATATCCTAGAAACAATACAAACTTGTTTTAACTGGCCACGAGGTAGTGCTCTGAAATATAAATGAAGTTCAGACAATTGTTGTTAAAACAACAAAACAAATCGGTAAAATCGGTTTCTCATGTAAGTATCACCAATCACCCAAAATTAAGGAAATCGGGGACGATAAATCAGCTGGC